TTCAGCAGATGTTATGCAACACAGAAGAGAGATCAATTTTTAGGGTGGTACTAGTTAACTTTCTTAGGAGAAATTTTGACAAAAGAGACCGGAATAAAATAAAAATTGGGGATCTAGATCATTTTTTTATAACAAAAAACCTTTCACATGTATCTTACGTGTTAAGAAATAGACCCAATTTTAACCTGTGTACATTTTAATCCATGTGTATATAAATTGCTTAAAAAAATTTTCTCTCTCTCAAAACTGAACAGACCCTTCTCTCTTCTTCTCCCTCACCGACCGACCCTTTCATTTTTTCTTTCTTTTCCCTTTTTTTTTTTTTTTTTTTTTTTTTTTTTTTTTTTTTTTTTTTTTTTTTTTCTCTTTTTCCTTCCCTTCCTTCCACGTGGCTGCCAAGACTCCCTTTCCTCTCTCTTTCCTCCGGTTCTCACAGCATCTCTCTTTTTTTTTGTTCTTCGACGCCGGCCACTTCCCTTCCGGCATCTTTGTCTCCCGCCGGGCCACTTCCCCTCCGGGATCTCTGTCTCCCGCCGGCCTTCTTTCTCCGGCCATTTTTCTCTCTCTCTCCCTCGCCGACCGGTCCCTCCCGAACGCCGACCGACCTTCCCCAAACGCCGACCGACCTTCACGAACGCCGACCGACCACCCCGAACGCCGACCGACCCTCCAGAACTCCGACCCGACCCTCCGATCGGGGTCTAAATTTTCTTTTTTCCTTACTGTGAGTATTTTTATCAAATTGATTGTCCAATATGGTGATTTCTTTAGTTTTTGAGATTATTATAGTGTGTATATATTTCACAACAAGTCAAAATTCTTTTTGTATTCGTTAATGTTCTTTAGTTTTTTTTTTCATACGATTGTTGAATCTGAGCCTATATGTTTTTGCATAGTTATGATTCAATATAAATTAGGTTTATCAAAAAGAAATAAAAAATGATTCAGCATAAATGAAAATTATTTTGGCAGTTTTGCTATATGCTTCTTTGAAAATATAACAGCTGAAAGAAAATATTTTTCCGTCCTTTTTTTTTTGAAAGATTGCATTGGAAGATTCTTTAGTCAGCAAAAAGAAAGGATAGCCTGCTAATTCCTACACACACTGAGGTACGATATTGTAAGTTTGTGCATGAATTTTAATTTTTCTCTATTTAATTGATCATGAAATTTTGTGCATGATTTTATATTTGTAGGTTAATTAAGTTATTTATTTTATGAACCTTCAGAACTCCGACCATCCTCAAACGCCGACCGACCCTCCAGAACTCTGACCCGACCCGCTCGAACGCCGTCCCGACCCGACCACCCACGCCTCCAGACCACGATTGAAATGTCATCACAAAGCAATTCTTCTTCCTTAACTAAGACGACTATTTCCAGAATTCCCATCGACGAGGGAACGTAATGTGCTCTCCCTGAAGTAACATTAAGATTTTATTCTCAGAATTAACATTAAGGTTTAATTCTTGTTTTATTTTTTTAATTACATTTTTGCAAGAACAAGACTTAATATAAGAAAAAACAAAGAATATACATTAGTGTGTGTCACGGTCGGTTTTAGGTCAGTTTCGGTCGGTTCTAAATCGGTTCAATCATGCTCGTTCTAGGTCGTTCATGGTTGGTTCTAGGTCGGGTCGGTTTTAGTCGGGTTTGAGGTCAGTTCTAGTCGATTTGGTCGGTTCTAGTTGGGAAGGTCGGTTCTAGGTTGATTTTTGGTTGGTTTTGAGTCGGTTCGGTTCGGTTCGATCGGGTTCGGTCGGTTCTGTCAGTTCGGTCGGGTTTGGTCAGATTTTGGTCAGTTCGGTCGGTTCTATTCGGTTTGGTCGATTTTAAGTTGTTTGGTCGGTTCTGACCAATGTGTTTTTTTGTTTTTGTTTTAATCAGAATGACCTCCCGAAGTACAACCCAGATGAACTTCCTGGGATTGGACAACTAAGGATGGTCATGGATCCTATACAGGAGTACTTTCTAGTGAAAATCACTATGAAGTCAAAGATGGAGGCACTAGAGGTTATAAGGCAGAATTTAGACCCTGAAATTGAAATGCCAATTTTTAAGGGATCTGCCTTGGGACATTTGATTTCGATGTTCGAAAACATGATATATTTTGGAGTGTTGACACACTATCTGCTTCTGAGGCAGATATAAATAGAAAAGAAACATGAGTTATGGTTCCTAGTTAATGGAAAGGCAGCTCGGTTCGGGATGAGAGAATTTGCTTTAATCACTGGATTAAACTGCGAGGAAATCCCAGAGCTGGACGTAGTGTTGAAAGCTTCGAAGAACATGAGATTGTTGGAGCATTTTAAGGCCCAAGTAGTACTTGTTGCTGATTTAAAAAAATTGCTCACAGAGAACAAGATAAAAGGTAGCGATAAAGCAAAAATCGCTATCATTTACTTTTTAGCACAAGTATTACTATCTGGGGAGGAGAAGAAGACCGTCCCACTAGATTGGCTGTCATACGTCGACGATTTAGATTTATTTAACAGCTATCCATGAGGCAGGATGTCTTTTGAACGCACTTTGCGGTCTTTGAGGAAGAACCTAAAAGAGAAATTTCAGAAATGAGTTCGGAAAGGACGTAATAAGAGCATCAAGGAAACCTACTCAATATGCGGGTTTCCTTGGGCCTTCCAGGTATGTCATACAGTTATATGCATAATTTTTAATCATAGCCTTATAGTAAATAATACAACGTTTTTTATTTTACTAGTCTTAAAAAAATGGTTGATGGTTGATGGAAGTCTTCCCAGAATGCTCAAATGGGAGGCACGCCACGTTTCCTTAAGGTAGATCCATGAGATGATCCAAACTTAGTCTGGTCAATACAAACTAAAGGACCAACTTCTACTTCATTTAAAATAGCAAGTGGTTGTGGCTCTAGAGGTGACTGTGACTCTAGTTGTGGCTCTAGTTGTGCGTGTGACTCTGGTTGTGGTTGCAACTGTGGTGGAATATCATTACGAGTCGAAAACTCATCTGTAACTACCATACCCATAAAATCATGATAAAAAAAATCGTCATGCAAAGGATTTCTCCTAATTTTGACTCCATTAATATGTTCTTATGAATTCATAAGCTTCTCATCCACTATCACGTGTAGCGGTACCTTGTGGGCTATATCCCTGAAAAATAACAAATCATTGTCTTTTATTACAACGGGTAACGATTTCTGTTTCAAATTCGGTACCCATGATAACTGCAAGGAATGTTTTTGTCCATCAATTTCACATTTTCTACAAATCTTATCAACGAAGGTTTCGAGAATATCCTTCTCATCCATATATACGCCAATTAACTTACAGTTTGTATGCCACACCTAACAACTTTTATTCTCCTCTCATTTTCCTCCAATGTCAAAAAAATCCTCCACTGAAGCATTATTTAGATTTTAAAATTGTAAAATTTAATCAAGATAATAATATGTCATTAAATTAAATCAAATATATCACGAACAGACAAAGAACAAACTATATAATAAAAACATACCATATAATGAGAACAAACTAAAAACATAACATATCAAGAAAAGACCAAGAACATACCATAAAAAAGTGTTCCTACAAAATAAAAAAAGGCAAAAAAAAAAACCATCAATTTATAAAAATATATAATTAAACATGACAAGACCAGACCACTAACAGAATGACCAAACCAAGAACCGAATGACCAGACTAAGAATAGATCATATAATAAGAACAAACTAAGAACCGACCGTGCAATAAAAATAGACCAAGAACAGATCAAGAACTGACCGTGCAATAAGAACAGACCAAGAACAGACCAAGAACCGACCGTGCAATAAGAACAGACCAAGAACCGACCGTGCAATAAGAACAGATCAAGAACAGACCACGAACTGACCGTGCAATAAGAACAGACTAAGAACTGACCATGTAATAAGAACAGACCAAGAACATACAATGAACCGACCATGTATAAGAACAGACCAAGAACAAACATTTTTTTTTCTAAACCCAGCATATCTTCATCATATTAGACAATGTAAACTGGTCTTTTATCATGTAAAATTACTATTTTAATGGATTTTTAACTACATTCTCATCTTAAAAACATATGAACAACAACAAAAAACACCATGAAAGATATAGAAAAAGAAAGACTTACTTAGTAGCCCTTCTTCAAACTTTGTTTTGGACGAGAATAAAACGTTGAATGGACAATATAATAATGTTAATGAGGTTGTGTGACGACGATGACTTGAGAAGATGAGAAAAGAAATGGAAGGCAGTTGGGAGAAGAAAATGACGCGAAATAGAATAGGAGAAAGAGAAAGAAAACCCTAAAAACATAATTGATAACGTGGAATAGTTGATGTGGAAGTTGACCTATTTACTCAATTTATTTTTTTTGTGGTTTATTTACTTTAAAATACTTTTTACTTAGTCTATTTATCCAACAAGCCCCTTTGGTAGTTAGTTTATTCATTTTCGTTATTTTTGTGTCTGAGTAAACTACTTTATAGTTCTTCACAAGATATTATTTCTTCTTTAAGAAAAGAATATTCCTTTTTTTTTTAATTGTGTGCCTCTTGTGATCTGTGTTGGTGGACTTTGAAGAGTACTTGGTTGGTTATAATTAGGTATTCTAATAGTTGGTGAAAATTATATAAAATTCAACCTACTAGTTTATCATTTCTTTAATCTTTGCTTTGGAAACTGGCACAGCCTTTAGCCACTTCAATTGAACTGTGTTTCTCTTGGAACTGGGCTTGCCCAACTAGCCTCTTAATAGATGGTCAAATACAAACCATTTGGTAGTGGTACCTTATAATTAACTAAGATCATTAAACTCTAATTTTTCTTATGTAAGCTACAAATGTGCTGTTCATGCTGCTTGTTAGAAAGGTCTGATTTTTTATTCTATTAAAAAGAATAGGGTCGTAAGCCAACTCTGTTCTAAGATTGGCAGAGTGGTGGAGCCATGTAGGCACTAATCACTTTGAAAATCTCGAAGGGCAAAGAATTAAGCTTTTGGTCATCATATTGGGGTCAAGGGCCAATTCAGTGTTTTCAAGATATTTAAAGTAATACGAAATGCACTAGGTTGTTAAGAAGACAGGACAAGAAATTAGGTACAAAAAATTGAATCTCTGGTTTCTTTGTGTCCTTAGTGGAGATTATGAACGAACCACTTAGAGGAGGCTCACCACATGCGAGATCTATAGATAATTCATGCTATAGTTTATTATTTTTCTCCAATAACATGTTGGATTTCTGCTCAAAGACAATTTTTCGGGGGCAAGTTTGGTGATTGAAAAGGTTGTTATAATACTTGCGTTTTATTATTGCTAACAACTTAGAAGTTAGAACAAGCTATTTAACTCGATTCTGGCGCGTATATTCGGGAACTCATGAACTATCGATCACTATTTGCAACTCTAATACAAGTTGACCACCAAAGTGAGAGCCCTATGAGAATCACTCGAAACTGTTTCTAGACTACTGTCTCAAAGCTATTTTCATATTATTGGCTTAATGTTTTTGGTGGGGTTGAGATGATGTGCTTCATCTCCCATCCCGTATATAGTCACGCCTATGGGTGTTCACCCTTCTACACTTTTTATTTTTATTTTTAAAAAAAAACTAATAAAGTTGAAATATTCAAGTCATTTATCTCGTTTGGTTCGCGGATTCAAATCAGGATGGTATGAACTTTTTTAGTTTAAAACATGTTAGTTTGAAAAGGACGTGTTAAATCTGTGGTTCAAACCAACAAAAATACGGGGAGGGTTGTGTTTAGAGATTTTGTGTTTACATGTCAAATTCGAGGGTTCAAACTCAAATGTTGGTTTGGCATCCAATTATTGTTTTGGACCAAACTTAAGGTTCAAACCACCCTAAATTCACACACAGCTCAAGTACCAATTTATCACCGCAAAGAAATGAGACCGTGGGTTACATGATCAGAAAATAATTGTTGTAATGCCGCAATTTGGATGAAATGCAGGCGAGTTAGCATATTGTAGCACCAATAATGTCCTGCTTCCATACAAAATTTAGGATTAGGAAAGCCACTCAGACTTGAAAGGAAACTCGAGTAAAAGAGTGAAATTACCGTGCAGTCAATCACTTATTGGTAAATGGCACCATCTTTAAAAATTAAAAAAATTAAAAAAAAAAAGCCCACATAATTGTTGGTTTGTTTCAAAAGCTTGTGTGCGCAGATTCTTTAGTTAGGTCTAATGAAAGATGATGATAACAGTGATAATAAAAACAATGTGCATTGTTAGACAATTAGAAGCACTATTGGAAATGAAAATGCAATATGGAGCTATGAGGAACCTTCTTGTGCACTTCATGACAAGGTCATGAACCACTATGCATTACGGAGAGGGCGTACCCTAAATTTTTTTATAAAATTTAGGTCTGACTACTAAAACAAAGACATTGACGTCTCAACCATTTCTACTTCCTTCTTCATTTTCTTAATGTGCCGAGGACCCCCACCCCATTCAACACCATCTAATATAAATAACTTCTGTACTTTCAATGACTCCACCATGTTCTTCATTTTCTATGCTTCAAATTGCTAGCTTTCCTTGCATCACTGCCGACAGGAGTTCGACCGAGAGAGGTACCAAAGAGGTGAAATTGGTTGGTTCCCTAATTTTGATCCTTTTTTTTTTCTTTACTCAAAAATGGTAGGATGTTGGTAGGGCTCAATCAAATCAAATCTCCTAAGAATTGGGTCCTTTTATTTGATTGAGCCGTGCCAATATCTCGTCTGGTTTCTTTCGTGAACTTTTTGTTTTGCTAGTTTATTATGAACGTGGAATACCCTGTTGTGTTATGTATTGTTGTTTCTTTTTCTTTGGCACGCCTTTTACATGCAATTCTTTGCCAAGCGTGCATCTGAATTGAACTTCACATTTAAAAAAAAAAAAAAAATGCTTGCATCAACCCTTTCCCAGGGAAAAAAAAAATAAAAAAAGCGGAGAATATTCTTTCACATACTCCTTAAGGTGGTCTACATGCCTCGCACATGCAAATAATGAGGCACAACTCATTATCAGGATGCACCTTACCAATCGGTTAATCACCACCTTTCTTTCTTCTTTCAATGGTGACGTTGTGAAATTAGAGCCTGCGTCATGCACGCACACTACCACCAGGAACCAAAAAAAAAAAAAAAAAAGGGTGAAATGAACATTCATTTCACATTCTTAAACACAATCTCTTCATATATGCTACACGGACCTCTTTAATGGTTTTGCCTTGGAAACCTTACAAACAGGTCAGAGTTGAATAACAGCAACCAAGTTTATTAGATATTCTAAATTCTACATATAAACTTATTGTACATATGTACAAATTCTAAACATCATGTCTAAGCAGTACATTCAATTCAGAAACATCCAATACAAAAAGTTCAGCCAAGGGCTAGCGCTACTTTGACCTGGCGTATCCTCGGTCCGTCTTCTTCTCCTGCGAAAATGGAAGACAAAGGCAGCGGAGTCCTTGGCATCTTCAATAGCAACTGGAAACCCGCCATGGGAGAATGAGAAGCAAAAGAGGACGTCCCATTCATCTTAGAGCAAATCTAATACCCAAGTGGTGGTGAAGTATATGACATCACTAGATAAACAGTGCTATAGACATGCAGACAGCAGCTGGGAACATTTTCCTTGTGACCTTCCTCTGTCAAACTTGAAGAGCTACGCCCAATTTCCCCTCCACAAAATATTCCTGCAAATGGGACCCCAGGAAAGTTCTTCACAAATGGGGAACTATCGACATCCTCTTGCGTGAAGAATGTGTCACCACGGCCATAACACGAGAAGATGAAACCTCCAAAAACTTCATGACTGATGTTCTTCGTACTTTCATTGAACTTAAAGTTTTTGAGGTCCAAAGAAACACGACCAATTGAGTTCAATGCAGTATCAGGATCTGAACCGTAGAATTGAAAGCGATTGCCAGTTCTGATGCCAAGGCCATTTACATAAAGATATTCCTCATCTCCCCTGTAGCACAAGTCTCATGTCAGAATTGGAACAAAATAATTCAACAAAGAACTGATATATTATTCGATTCAGAATGATGCTTAAGGAAGGAAACTTATTTCTAGGGAATAAGCTAAATATTAAAATCAATTATTCAGAAAGAGTAGTTATTTCAGCTTGGTCCAGAGATGTAAGTTAAACTTTAGATCAGTGCCTTGAGTAATGTAATTCCATGGAGCTCTACCAAAATATCATTTCATTTTAACCAAGACTTGATTGCGCTTAGAGTTACCCCCTAGGCTTTCTAGGTAAGTATCAAAACTATAGAATTTCATCACATTTTTACTGGTCAATTCCAATGGCAGCAAGTTCACACATAAAATACAACTTAAAGAGTTGGAAATTTATCCAATAGTCAGCTCCCACATCATTTTCTGTCAAAAAGAAGAAGCTCCATGTAGCTATTTAAAACCATTATGACCCCAGTAAATTACTGAGTTACTTGGTAATAGATTTGCAAAAACATCTGTGGATAAAGCAACCAATATAAGAATAAAAAAATCCCTAGAAATAATAATAATTAAAAAGAGTTCCAATTCCATATATTACCCAACAATTCCATAGAATGACAAGAAAGTTATTATTCTAGGCCTCTCTGATCCAATGGAGCAATTTCGCCTTTTTGTAACTCCAATGTACAAATCAGAAGAATCAACATGATCTTCTAACTGTCACTCATAGAATAAAAAGACAATATCAGCTGAAAATTACTATCTCCAGGTGCGTTGAAATTCAGGAATAGATCTGAAAGGGAGAGACAAATAATAATTGACAATCTACAAACTTATCACACTAACGTACCGTGACATTGATATCATTCATAATACGTTGACCATCAAGAATAGCCCGTTGTCCTTCTATTTTAGCAGTGAGCCACGTAGAATGATCTAAACAATTCACTCTAATAGATGCTGCCCTGTATGTTGGACCAATTGCTGATACTCCATTTGACAATGCAACATGGAATTGAATATTACCAATGGCTATTCATTTACAGCAAACCAGACTATGCAAGTCATGATTACTTAAACAACAAACAATTAATCAATAGTAGCTCATATAAGTATATAACAAGTTTGAGAAGAAAAGTACCATGAGTGTTGTTTCTATCCCTTGCAAATGTAAGAGCAACAGCGTCAGTAAAGAATTTTGCACTTCCACAGAAATTTCTTGACTCATTCGCAGTCCTATACAAAAACCGACCTCTCTCATCACCCACAATAACTGTTTCCTCGGGCATAGCATAATCTGAAGTATTGAGATGTAATTAACAAAAACTAATCATGTACTTTAACAAAGAAATTTCTAACACATGATCATAATCATACGAACAAATTTAAAAGGTGAGCTTTTGGCAAACAAAATTAAAGGATGACAATCGCAATGAAAGGAAACTCACCCAAAATGTTAAGAATTGGTTTCATGTTAACAAGCCCTTCCTGTGCCATCTATGATGTGAGAACTTAGAAACACAATCAAGGATGAACGTGCTGACAATAAGTAGAGACTAAACTAAACAAACAAACAAAAAACCAACTCACCCCAAAGAGTATAATCCCAACCGGGGATTTACAACCCGAAACAGAGTCAGTGTAATCCCTTATGTCCATTACAAACTTCTCAACTAATGCATCTCGAAGCTCCTGGGCAACATAAAAGATTTCACTAGTGTCAGCATTTCCTTAACACGTCAACCTAAACACATAAACAAAGCAATTAGCATATGATCTCAAGATAAACACACACACATAATATATGCATATATTACCTTTGTGGATCGTAACAGTGGAATAACATCAACTTTTAGTCCTGGCACAAACCCAACGGTCAAAACGATGCCAAAATTCTCATCTACTGAAGTTATTGACCCATCATCATCACTTAGATCCCACTAAAACTAGTCCACTTGACCTAGCAAAATTTTTGTTTCCCATAAAAAGAAGTAAATTATCAATCTTTGGCTTCATTTTTACTCCAAAATTTACAAATTTACTAGGACAACAACCAAAATCAACAAAAGACACCTCTTTAAGCTCGTCAGTAAGAGCATCTCTTCCAATTATTCCATTAGCAGTTGATATAATTATCGGCGTTTTAGTCCCCAATTTCTTCGATATCTGATAAAGAAAAACGAAAATCACTCAAAAAAATTTTCATCTTTTTCTTTCTTCGAAATGGAAAAAGAAAAAAGAAAGGAAAAAAAAAAAGATTACTTACAAGCTTGAAAATGTCATACAAGCGAAATCCACTTCCAACACTGGCAATGGCGAAATCAGGGCGTATTGGATCCGTCAGGACCTTATCGATAACCTCTCTCACGGCAACCTATCAAGATCAAAATTTCACAGCAAATTCTCAAATTTCTCAACTTTTTTTTTCCCGTTTTCTCGGGAAACAAACACGATTGAAGTTGAAAATAAGGACGCTTGTTCTACCTGAGGAGAAGGATCGAGAGAGAGGGCGGAGGCGAGCTTGGGGCGAGAGAGGACCTGAGAAGATACTCGATTCCACGACTTGCTCACGCAAGCCGCCGACGCGAACGACGGCGCCGGAAGCCTCGCCAGAATATTGTGGAGAAGGTCATCGGTTAGCAAAAAGAAACCTGTCGTTTTCACCATTTTGGTGTCGTTTCTGGACGAAGAGGACGACGATGGTCGTGAAGGATCGTCCATTTGTTGGGTTGTTGTCGAATGGTTTCTGTTTGCATTGCTTTGGAAAAAACTGTTTTAAGATGGGAAAAATGCATTATTAAGCATATTTCACGCCTATAAGTAAATAACATAGAGCGCGTTTAAAATTATTATACAAGAGAGATGAAGGGTTTAACTGTTTACGCTGGAGTGTAATGAATAGTATTTTTCTTTAGATGATTCTTTTTTCCGTTATGTCATTTTGAATGTAAAGTTATTATGGCCTCGTTCATTTTACCGATTTGAATTTTCAGTTTTAAGTTTTTACAGTAAAAAGCTCTCAAAAAATGTCACATCTAACTTTTTCTGCTACAGTGAAAAGCTCTCAGAAAATGTCACATCTCAACTCGAATCCGCGAAGTGAACGAGGCCTATATTGTCCTTTAGTTCAATTTCATTTGTTTTGATTTATTCTGACCGTTTTGGTCATTTGCACTCAGATTGAGTGTTTTATTTTTTCCCTTTTCGTTTGTTGCTTTCTACAACCTTCTAGATATGTGTTTCTTTTTCTTCGTTTCTAGAGCAACTTTTCTCTCTTCTGTTTGTTTCCTCTGCAACCTTCTAAATCTCTTTTTTTTTTTTGTACTCAGATTGAGTGTTTTATTGTTTTTCTTTTTCATTTGGTGCTTTCTACGATCTTCTAGATATGTGTTTCTTTTTCTTCATTTTTGGAGCAACTTTTCTCTCTTCCGTTTGTTTCCTTCTGCAACCTTCTAGTTCTCTTTTTTTTTTTCTCATTTCTGGACTAGATTTCTTTGCTTCTCATCTTCTTTCCTTATGCAACCTTCTAGATCTTTTTTTTTCATTTCTGGACCATATTTCTTTGTTTTTCATCTTCTTTCTTTTTGCGTATATATTTTTGGATGTTTTATGTTTTATTTTTTTATTTTCCTTTGGTTGTATATGCATGGTCATTTTTTCTTTCCATACACCATTTGTTCTCTTCGTCTTCGGTTTGGTTGATTTTTTTTTTGTTTGGATTTCATGGATTTGGTCATTTGTTTCATATCTATGTTCTTATCCACTTTATTTTTTTGCTGTGTGGTCGTTTACTTCAGACCTATATTTTTACACCTTATTATATTCCTCTACTTGTTGTAGCTTTGTTGGTTTTCTGGGTTTCGATTTTCCGTTCATTTTTGCAGTCATTTTTCCCATTTTTTCTTTTATGAATTTTGTGGGTATTTTGGGTTTTGTTATTTTGTTTATGGTTTTTAATTTATTTGTTCATAGCCTGGGAAAACCACTGACGATCTGTCTTTAGTAGGTCGTCTATTCTTTCTTACCTCGGGATAGGAGTAAGAAATTTTCTGACTATGAAACGGTCTCTGTAAACCTTACCAGCTTATGACTATATTATATATACGATGCTCAGATAAAACAGGTTCAGATCCAGAGAGAGCTCACTATACCACCAGATTGCCGCATTTGCTTATGAAACAAGAAAAAGAACAGCTTATCCCGAGGAGAACTGAGCATAAGTTTGATTTCTTAGGGTAGTCACTCAAAAAGGAATTTCATCTGTCACTTCGCCCCCCTTTAAGACTGATTCCTTCTAGGCGAGAAGGTTAGCACAAAAGCAGCAAATTCTCTTGCCTCGCTTACGCTTATTCTGACAACAGATTCATCAGTCCACTGGATGCGTGCTAACATAAAAGAAGAACGTACGAAAGTCATCAGGTACGGTTTCAGCATCCTAAGCTAACTCACCGCACTCAGTCCAGTCTATGGGCCCTTAGCCAAGGATAGAGACAGCGCTAATGCTTCGGTCATACTAGATTACGAGGCTTACCAAACTATCGAAGCCGCAACTTAGAGAGAGAATTCATACTATAAGGAAGGGAATAATGTAATCTAATCAGTAGAATGCTGCTTTCCGTACTATCAGTTGTTCACATTCAAGCATGAGTTCGTTCAGAGTCGGCAAGGGGAATTAGAGAAGGGGCAGTTTAGTTAACAATCATGACCATGGGGAACATTTGTTCGCTTTCTAGGTACCCCCGAATCTACTAGTCATCGCCTTTGAGCTGGTAAATTACCTGGAGTCGGCTCTTCCTGATTCAGCAAAGGAGAGAAGCCTTGATCCCAAGACTAGCTGCGGATTGGATTCTTTTATCCGAACTTACTATAATCGTGATTTTGACTCTATTATTATATTACCTTCCTCTGTCGCAATAGAAATCGAGAATGGAGGTGACTTCGCTACCTTTCTTGGTAAAGAATCTTTCTTTCCAGCTTTGGTCACATAAGCTTGAACCACTCCGGGGAAACATTTTGATATTATACGATCAGACTTTGTCGGGCATGAGCTACTCTCTTCTAGCCTTCCTCTAAGAGATTCAACGACATCGATTATTCTTTTTCTTTCAAGCATGAGTGACCAGTCGATTCTCTAATTAAGATATAGTAGTCAACCATAAAGAAATCATGAACCATTTAACCCGGGATGGGCTCATACCTTTTTTCGTGTAGTGGGACTCCTTCTTTGTCAGTTAGAGACAGCAGCAGATAAAACAATAGCGAAAATCGCTAATGATTCTGTTATACAAAACTTTGTTTACCCCGGGCGTTTTTTCCTTCTCTCGCTTAATCAGAATCTAACTCACTATTTAGTTTCAATGCTAAATGGGAGCTTTCTTCCTAAACAGGAGAGTTCGAAGCGAACACCCTTCTCTGCTGATTCGTCCTAAGATAAGGAAGAGCTTAACCACACCCAAAGCAAATTCAACTTCCTTAGAACTGAAGGAGTGCAATCACAGTCGAAAGAGCAAACTGATTTAACTTCGAGTTAGGCTTTGCTGACTTAAAGGTCCAGGTGGAAGTACTAAGAATTGATGACAAGCAGAGCTCTACTGAACCTACTTTATAAATGCAATCACCGGATGATTTTCCATCTCCTGACAAATATCTTAAGTGAGGTGGACTTTATCCATACCATACTGGCAGATACGATGAGCTTCCTTAAGAATACAAATTCTTTTAGACCAAAGTGCGAGATATGGTTCTTTGGGGCCTTTTGCGATGCCAAGATAACTAACTTTCTTTATAGTATACCACTTCTGGCTCGTCATGTTGCATCTCTTCTGAGACCAGGACCTTTTATCACAACTTTCGCCTCTAGCGTACCTTACTTAAACTACTGTACGAATGGCATTTCCTGCTACGATTTGAGCAGCAAACGGGGTGTCAAAAATCTCTTATTCTCTTTTGCCTTTGAATTCAAAACTGCGTAGGACCAAGAAACCCCCGGCAAGAGTATGCCAAAGAAGCAAAGGAATGAGTGTATCGCCTTTACTCTAATAAGGGCATTAGCGCAGTACGATGAAGCAGGCTCAAGGCCAAGGAAAATTCTTTTAGGAAAGCAAGTCCCATCGAGTTAGCTCTTGGAGTAAAGGCATGACTTAAGGTAGCGAGTGACTTAAAGGTGAGATTATTTAATAGTCGATTAGAGAAAGCTACTTCCCACAAGGGGAGGAAACTAAAAAAATAGCGTAGATAAGGAAGTGGCTATTCTTTTTCATGACTCTACTACGCTCGAATAAACTCTTTGCGCAAGAAAGGGATATGAGATAGATGCCAACAATAGCTAAAAAAAATATAGTAACTTACTGGTACCCTTGTCACTCTTGTTTTGATGCTTAAATCAAGGCTTTTCTAAAAAAGAAAGAGGTCTAATGTGTCACTAGCCGAGTTAGAGGGCTAAACTAACCTTCAATAGACTCTTTCTGTAAGGAAATGACATAATTCTTTATTATAATAAGGAAAGTGCATTGAATGCTCTTGTTACATAATAGGCAGCTGTGAGGGGAGGTACGCACAGTCCAGGGAGTGAAGAAGGCATCCGAGACGCATGCCTTTATCTTATTCTTTTTCAGGGTGGAGCACTATATAGAGATAGGGCGCTTTATCTTATTCTTTTTTGTTTGTTTGTTTTGATCAGTCATTCAAGCTCTAGCTAGTTGATAGCAGCATCATTGGAATGAAATCAAAATGGAAATGCAAGCAACCGGGAGAATCGGAGTAACATGAGAATGAATTCTACTAAGGTTGTAAGTAATAAAGATCTTTCTCCCGCATCTATAACCAGTCATACTAGGTGGGCTGTCTCCCATCTTAGTGAAGTTACGAGGTTAGCAAGAAGCAGTGCCCTTCCATCCCTGTGTGTGGGATTAGAAATTCGTTAGTATCGGTGGGCCCCTTCACTTGAGCTAATTTTATCCCGCTTTACTACGGAGGCAGCGATGTGACATACAAAATTTAATGATTTTTCCTTTGTTCTTGTTTTTTGTTTGTGCAGCGAAGATAAAGATATAAAGGTAGATTGGTTCGTTTTCATACTTAGGTGTCTATCGTTCTCGGTGTGCTCAATTCGGATTGAGAGGAAGGTAAGTCCTGATCTAATATATGAAATTTTAAGTAATATGAATTTCACTTCCACCCACTGTCACTCTCTCGCTCCTTTTATGTAGCTCATTCCCTAAAGGATCAATGATTATCGGTAGAGTCCAAAACATCCCTCCCCCTATCGGTGGAGCTACTGCATTCCTCCTAACCTCCCGTTCCTTTTATGTAACTTGTTCCTATCAGTTGAGCACTACATACAGTAACAACAACTCATACGAGTGACTTCTTCCCCCTTCTCCTTTCTAACTCCTAGCTCCTAGCTGCTTGTAATCTTCTAGCTCCATAAGACCTTGTTCGTTTCTACTTGACTCTGAAAAAAAGAAGGCTTGGCTTACTCTTTCAACCAACAGCTAAGGCCAATAGAAGGCCTTAAACCTAAGTTCTAACGACAGAGCTACAGGTCTGAGGGTAGTTAAAATAAACAGATAAAAAAACCGATTAAGTCTGTGTTCCCCCCCCCCTAAGGGTATGAGTTCACTCAGCTTCACCTACTAAAATGAAGAAATGATAGAAATGGCTCTTTCAAGCAATAACTAAGTGGAAATATATCCTTTTTCTAATCCAGTTACATTGCTCCAACACGAGTTCCCT